ATGTTCAAATGTAAAGAGAATTAAACCGCCCTTAAATCAAATAATCGGAATGTAAAAATTTGAAAACTAGGCTGCAGTTAACATTTTTGCAAATGGTAAACACTTGTATTTATTATTGGACCCAGTGGAGATCACTACAGGTCATCGAGCAATGCAACTTTTTGAGCTGAATCCAGGAAAACGACAAGTCAAGGAGTTGTAAGACTTGCTGCTGTAAAAGCCAGCCTTGTGAATCCCGATAAACGCTGTAATGGGCGTGTTTTGTTGCAGTTAAAGCCGTGTTGTAAGGAGCAGAGAGAGAGGGTGTGTCTTTGTTTTATTGGCTCTGACTGCTGTGACTTTACTGTCCAAACCTCACATCTACTATTTGCTCCTGTGATGTGAGAGGATACCTGCTCATTCTTACACACACACACACTCACTCACACACACACACACACACACACACACACACACACACACACACACACACACACACACACACACACACACACACACACACACACACACACACACACACACACACACACCTATTTTGTCTTGCATTCAGAGTTGTGTGTGTAATGGAAAATTGGCCTGAAGGCTGAGCCGGTTGCTACGCAACGCCTTTGCCATATATGGCAACTTTTTTTCTCTCTCCTTGCCTTGTTGTCTTTCTCAAAGACAGTATCTACTCTGTCCCTGACATTTGAACGCAAATAGATGTAAATTTTAATGTACGTTCCACAATAAGCTTGTTATTGTTAACTGATTCCACAACGGCGCACATTTCTGTCTTTAAATGGCAAACTTTCAATAAAAGTTTTCCTTTCATACAACACAACACACTGTTGAGTGGAACAGAAGAAAAAGAGGAAATTGTGGGTAATTTGGTACACTGACAAAAAAAAGTACAATGAAACTTGGAACACACAGTCTACCCATGATAATTATTCATATTTATGCATTCATAATAAGTCATACATCACAATAGCTGACTTGTTTTCTGTCCCACACACCACTCCCACAACAATAAAACACAAAATCTACTCTGCAGAGTAAAAAAATCTTCATTTTACTTCTGAGAAAATAAACAGTACTGAAAATACACAAATAACAAGACTAGTCAGATCTCATGTTTTATTAAGAAACAAAGCCAGAATATTTTACAACCGTTTATTACCGTACTATTAATGGGGTATTCATGTAAAAGTGAACAGTTTTGTTGTTTCAATGACATTAAATTCAAATATGTATTTATAAACACTGAGTTTCTACCATTCAGCATATACAGCTAACTAAGTAAAGTTCAGTGTACGAGAGTCTACATTTCATGTTTGTTTTGCTGTTGAGCAAAATATAGTTATTTTAGAAATGCATTAAAATAAAATCATTCAAAATATATTCCTAAAAATAATCAAGCTGTAAGCAGCTCACATTTTCTGAACGTGAGCAAGCCCTACTGATAATTACACCGGGTACCTAACAGAATAACTGTTATCTTAAAGTACTAGTCCAGTGGAAAATGGTAAAATCCCTTGCAATCATAACAAGTTTCAGAGTTCCTGGAAAGTAGAGAAAATACTCCAAAACTTCCTACACTTCACCCTAGGCTTGATTTTCACAATAAAAGGTTCAGTTGGTAGACTTTACCCAACGTTATCATAAAACACCAGAGGCACCACACAAAAGGAGATATAAAGGACTGGTGTGACTTTACAAGATACTTTCTGTTCTTCTGTTTGCTCAGCTGAGCAGCTTGAAGCCTGGAGGTTGTAAAGTGGGGCAGGGAAGGATGTGGTTACTGTGAAGTGGATTTGAGATGGGAGCTGTAATAGCCCAATGTAAGCTGTCAGTCATGTAGCTCATAGTAGTTGTCTTACAAGCTCTTCTTTTGTCTTATGCCTCACTCACACACACACACACCCCTAAAGAACCTGTCGGGCAAACAGTAGAAGAGCACTGGAAAGGCCTGGAGAGGCCTGCTGTCCCTATCTCCATGCCAACGTGTCCGTCATGTATCTGTCAGGAGATTGGTTCAGCGTGGTGCTCAGAGTTGGCACCGTGGGGATGGGAGGGAGGTTACGGTGAGAGAGGACGGCTCATTGTGTCGAGGTTTGTGCCTGCTTGAATGCAAGGTAAGGACGTAAAAGGGAAAAGATTAGTTCAAGCATGTCGATTTGCTGAGGGGGGAAAAGAAAGTTGGTTAGGAGACGGATATGCTCGAGGACAGCTATAAAGATTCAACTATTGAGAAGGTTTTAAGAAAGAAGGGAGGATGTGGAAACGTTGCAACAGGACCAATTATGAATGTGGCAATAAGAGGCTGTAGGAAAAAGATCGTAAGATTACCATACAGCGGTTACAGACTGTGATGCAACAGGACATTAGCTAAGTGTTGATTTGGGTAAACAAAGTTCTGAATGATGTCCTTTCATTGGGGACAGCCTGTTATAATGGTGTACCTGCTGTGTCGAGTCAGCACCTGTCTCCTCGTCTGACCCCTCTGACTGAGATAAGTTTATTCTGAAAGATGATTTGCAGGAAGATTGTAACAAATGCAGGTGACTCATGTGACCGTCATCTGCACTTTGACCTTGTAGCTGTGATGCACTTCATCAGGATTAACCCAGCCAGTGGATCATGACTCTTACTGCTGTGTAGCAGCTTAGAACTAACAAATGATGACAATCTCTAAAAATCCTGCCGGGGACTCCAAAACATGTTGTGTTTCCTTCTTTTCACACAGTTTATCATGAGTGTGTACAGGTGTGTGTGTGTGTGTGTGTGTGGGGGGGGGGGGGGGGTGGAAAGTGCTTCTGAGGGAGAATTTGTTTTGTGTTTGTGGCTTCATAACGGGTATGTTTTCCCAATCGCCCAACATTTATTAAAATTCCCTTTAACGCGCTTTTGTATTCTGTGGAAAAATAGATTAGATCAGAGCTGTTTAAGGCTTTTTATAAGGTTTCTGTCTTTCTTTTTCAAAGTTGGTCCACAAAAAGATGCTCAGCATGTTTATTTTTAGATTTCACTGTTTCTAAAACAGATTTTTATCTGTTTGCAATAATAACATCATGCTTTAGCACAAGTGGCAAATTTCAGCTTCTGATAGTTTTGTTCGGCTCACGTTTAACCCGGCGCTGACCCCAGAGCAGTAAATTGTGCGATATTTGCATTTTATCAAAAATCGACTGCACACACATTTTAAATGTAAATATAATCAAAGTGAAAAATAAAAATGGTTATCTTTATAATCACTCGACTCTGACGATTAGAGCTTTTAGCTCAGTTTCAAAAGTACATTTGAATGGGACAAGGAGAATGCAGGCATTTGAAGATAGGACCTGTGTTTTCAGTCTACGGCTAAAGTCAGATACAGATCTTTTCAGTTTGCATTTAAAACTAACCTCCAAGGCAAACTGGAGGCAGAGGAACGGCATTTCTGAAGGTGTGTTTATAGGATCCATCAGTCACACAAAAAGATAAAGATAATTTTGTTTTCTTGGAAATAGAAATTGTTCAAAAAGACAAATGTAGCAGCAGAGGTTTGTCTCCTTAATTATGTAGGTTGAACAGATGATCGAGTACTGAAACAGGTCTACACAAGATGATGTTTACCTAATGTTAATATTCAGAACAACACTCAGTACGTTTAGTGAAGTTAAACTTGAAACCTTTCATTTCTCCAAACTGCTCAGGAAGCGATCCACGGTGAATAAAACACATTATTTATATGCAGGAGTTTTCTTTCTCATTACAACTTTTTTAGGAAAAAGTATTTGTCGACTGTTTGAGAAAACAACTAGGGATAGACCGGTGTATCTGTTGGCCGATATATTGAGCCAATTACCAATTTTATACATCGGCATCAGCCGATATCTGTCCTTAGGAAAGCCAATTTAAAGTCAGGCACATCCTCAGGCAGCCTGGTGCTGCTGCAGAATTGAATTTAAATGTATTTTTACGTTCACTAATAGCATCTGCATGATAAATACTCGTAACTTTATTTAGGTGTCTGACTTCAACACTGAGCAGTGCACAAACTTAAGATTTAACAGTTAGTTAGATTGAAAAACTGATTCAGCTTCAGAAATTTTGTACATCAACTGACGCTATTAGTGACATTTTAGCATAAAAATAATGTGAAAATCATCTAGATATCGGCCATGAAAATCGGCCCATATTAATCAGCAGTAAGTATCGGCCGTCAGCTGACCGTATCTCCTACATATCAGCGATGGAAAAACCAACCAGTCGACATCTACAGACAATGTATAAACTATTAAGTCCTTTTTTCTCTTTTTATGTCCTAGGTTGTGTTTGTTAATATTAAGAAAGAAATAGATTGTTTTTATTGGTGAGGGTTATAATAAAGCAGCTGGAGGAAAAAAACATTTTATTCATTAAGTTATAAAATAATTGTTTTATGATTGTAGCCACTTGTTCCTGTTCATAGTTCTGGTGAACCTGTGCTACACACACACACACACACACACACACACACACACACACACACACACACACACACACACACAGTCCTCTAATCAGTTTATGTCTGGTTCTTCTAAGAGGACTTGCGTCAAAGCTGCTGCTGCACGCTGTCCTTGCTTTGGTATTTTTCAACATAGATAAACATTACACACACTTGCAGGCTCACAGATACACAGTCAGACAGCCAGGCTCTGTTTTACGACGCCACAGAGCTGCCCTTGGTAAATGTTTTATCAATGGGCTTTGTCGTGTACGTTGTGCACCTGGCCTTGGCTAAAGGGTGGGTTTGTTTGTGTGTGTGTGTGTGTGTGTGTGTGTGTGTGTGTGTGTGTGTGTGTGTGTGTGTGTGTGTGTGTGTGTGTGTGTGTTTTCATTTAATGAGTAATCATCCGTGTGACCTCCATCCAGCCCAATTACTTGTTAGACCTGCTAACAAGGACCAGGACCCTGATTAGACCGGGTTTGTCGTCACCCACACACTTTTTTTTTTGAAGACGAGTGTTGAATTTATTGTTTTTTTCTTTTTCCAGGTGAACCACTGGTGTACTTTGAAGAACGTGGTTCGTGTTGTCCCTTTAAAGAAGCCCTACAAGATCTGGAAGCACTGGGTCCAGCTAGCTGGCCATGAAGGTATCCATAAGTATCATGGCAGATAAGACTGATACCACAAGAGTCAGCCAGTGTTTCTTATCACAAAGACTGGAAACAAAAAAGCGGGTTTATGATTCAAACACAAATGGAAGCATGTCTCTTTAATCGTTATGTTCTTTCTTATCCAGGTATCTTCCACAAAAAAACGGACGGCAATGTGTTGAAGCTTTACTCCGAGTCTGAGCACAGGTGTCTGCAGGAGCTGATGGGGGATGTTCTGCAGCCCTTTGTGCCTCAGTATCTGGGTGTGGAGGAGCTGGACGGGAAGAAGTACAACCTAATACAAGACCTGCTGACTGGCTTTGATAACCCTTCCATCATGGACTGCAAAATGGGCAGCAGGTAAAGTTTATCACAGCCAAGATGTCTCTAGATCTCTGACTGTAGGGAGCGGCTCATCTGGGTTTATTGTGGACATTCAGATAATCTCGATGACTACTGAGAAAAAAAGGTGTTAAGAGAAATTAGTCAGTGTGGAAGAATAAAAACCAAACCTTACCATTTCAGAACGTACCTGGAAGAGGAGCTGACAAAAGCAAGGAGTAGTCCGTGTCTGCGGAAGGACATGTTCGAAAAAATGATGAGTGTGGACCCCGAGGCCCCGACCTTGCAGGAGCGAGCTGAGCAGGGGGTCATTAAACTCCGCTACATGCAGTGGAGGGAGAGCCTGAGCTCCACCAAGAACCTGGGCTTCCGCATCGAGGGCGTCATGGTCAGAGTCCTTTCTGAACATCTGTCTGTCAACACACCTGATGTAGGTCTGAGTTACTCAGGAGGGCTAGGAGTGAAGCAGGTTCCCACACGATGGGCGCGGCTGCCTAAATCCACCAGGGCTGGCGATCAAGGTGTAAACAATCTATTTACATTCTTCAGAATGTAAATTGATGGGATTCCATTCCAACAAGCATTATTAGTCACGCTGTGACAGATTTAACTAAAACGGCAATTTTGTTTTTCCCTTCATCTTAAGAAAAGCTTGTAACTGGATCCTGTACTTCCATGGAAATTCCAATGCTAGCGGAATACGGAAGCTTTAGCGGGGATGAGGACGAATTGGCTGAATATGGCTGACCAGAATAGTGGAACAAATGGAAATCAGCTTGTTTCTTTTTACTGTAGAAATGTGACGGACAGCGTCGCAAGAACTTCAAAAAGACGAAGCAAAAGGAGGACGTGATGAAGGTCTTGAAGTACTTCACCGGAGGCTGCATTCCCATTCTGGTATGTTGCTAAATAATAGAAGTTTTAGTTGTAGTTTTTACCAATAGTCTCTGGAAATATCCATCAAAATGTTGATGAATTTTAATTAAATGATGCCCAGTTGTTGAAAAATATTGGCGGCTTTGTAACATATAACCAGAAAGATTGGGTCTTAAATATCTGGGAGCAGGTCCAAGTCTGGGAGACGCCATATTAGCTGCCCTGTTTGCTTCCACGGATGTGCCTGTCATGTGATCGTCATTTTGCTGGAGGTTGCGCTCCCAGGGATTTTTGACCCCAATGGCCATCCGTTGGTAAGGTCTTATTCAAACACAGAGGCTCAATCCCGAAACTTACTGCGCTCTACGGTCTTCTGTGGGAGGAAGTACACAGAAAGACTTCGAGTGCGTGGTACACAAGTGAGCAAATAATCGCAAAGTTGGGACAGGGAGCATCGCATCATCGACTGCAACGCATGCCGGGATTCTGGTTGCTGTGCTCCTTTTTAAAAAAAAACTTTTATTAAAAACTTTCAAACAACCAGTTATTAGAAATAAGTTTACATTCATTGCTGCTTTGTCTAAAACATTCAGAGCATCAATTAATGGTGCTAAAATGAACTACTTTCATAGGAAAATACACATTTTCAGAAAAGGCATTTGAGCCTTTTCTCCCGCAGCAATGGATCGTGGGTAATACCGTTCACCCAAGTCCGCGTCGATGCTGCACCAGTTTCCAGCCCTCCTGTTGAGCGAAGGGAGCGGCCTGCTGGTGGCTCCGTGTTTCATGTCCAAACAGCTGCTGCTCTCATGAGCTCAGCAGAAGTTGTAGATTCAGTGGAAAAAGCAAACGCATCTGTACGTTTACCAGTTTCCTGTTTTTCTTTTTTGTTATCCTCACACTTCTGCTTGCTCACTTTTTTTGTATTCTAACTTTTTTCTTTAGAGAATTTACCTGGAGCGATTGGAGAAACTCCGTAGTGCCCTTGAGCAATCACCATTTTTCAGAAGGCATGAGGTGAGTTGGCAGTGTCTTCTTACATTTTCCAAACAAACCAGTCTGTCTTATTGTTGATTCATGCCATCATCCAGTTGGCTGAACAGCTGGCATACCTGAGTTCACCTGCCGGGTCTGATTTGTTGTTGCATGCTAGTGCGTGGGTACCTCTCTGCTGTTCGTGCACGATGCCTCTGGAAGGGCGAGCGTGTGGATGATTGACTTTGGGAAGACGATTCCCCTGCCGGACTTCGTGACCGTGGACCACAGGACTCCCTGGGCTGAGGGCAACAAGGAGGACGGCTACTTGTGGGGACTGGACAACCTCGTAAACATCCTAGGTGACATCCTCTCTAAGACGTCATTAGAGGGAGAGAAAACTCAGACAAATGACGAAATGGATTGTCAAGGAGAGAATGCAGAACTTTACACAGACTGAGACCGGATGAGTATTTGAGGAGGTTTGGGGTTGTTTTAAAGATCCCACCCATAATCCAAGTATCCTAGGCCTGGTCTGCATACACTACTACAGATCAGATTATAAAAAAACTCACTAAAACCTCCGTTTGTGTGTGGATGGGAGGTACAAACAGATAAAAACGGTCTGTTTTTACAAATATCTAGAGTAGTGTGTACAGGGCCTTCAGCATTTAGTACCAGCTGGAATGAGTCGCTGTGTCCAGAACTTTGTCTGATTGTAGGTGAAAGGGAGAAGAAACGCCAGACTTGTTTTTACGTGGAACACAGAAAATCATATGCATTATCTGGAGCACAAACACACAGGACATTTGTATCTTTAACGTACGAGAGTCCTCTGAACCACTGGATCTTTAAACAGTTGCAGTAACACTACTGTTCATCCTGCTGCAGTGCCCGCTTGTGGCTGCTGTTGCACATAGTTAGATTGGGGTTTTATTTTTTCATGAATCATTTTTATATGAAAGCATATTTAACACTAACACTGGACGGACCAAGTGTGAGGTAACTTTGTGTGTAAGCGGGGTTTAATTCAATCTTTTTTGGGGGCGGGGGGGATGTAAGTCATCATAGTCTGCTTGTATAATTTCTGTACCTACAGCATTTTTATAATGCAGCCATTTAATCATTTCAGTGCCAGGACTCAAATCCAAAGAGTTCACCCAAGTATGAACTGGTTGCATCTAAGCCCAGGTTTGCCTTGACTGGAAATCTAAGTCTTTATTTTATATAATATATATTTTGCATAAACGTCTTTGTTCTAATGTTTATTTAGCAGCTTAGAGCTGCTTCTTGAGAATCTGCTGCACTGTTGATCTTTAAAAAGCCATAGAACAAAATGAGCAGTGCCTCTGTGTGTCAAGTGTTTGCTTTTCAGTTCCCATCGATCACGTTTGAGTTTTTACAGTAAAACAGGCACAAGTCATCAAAATGCGATTAAGCATTTTATTAAAATGTATTGTCTGTTAAGACTTAAGTTTTGCATGATTTTAAAACCAAATAATCTTGATGTTTAAATGATTTGTAGCTAAATGCAAGAAAATGTCATAAGTCACATTTTAGATAAACTGCATAATTGTGGGTCGGATTTTAGTCTTTGTAACAAAATCCCACACTCCCTAAAAAAAACAAAAGACAAAAAAAACCTGGTCTTCCAGATGTTCAGCAGTGTCAGGCAGCTCTGTTGGACGGTGCACGGTGTTTAAAAGCAGGATTTTAACATTTTCATCTCTTTAGTGTGAATGTTTACAGCGTATTTAGTTTGCCCACAAATTCTCCTCATATTTGTAACGAGGCAAACCGTCAGGTTTTCACACCGGGTGCTGGTTTTAAAGCAAACTGGATATGAACCATTTCTTCTATTTTATAGACAAAATGATTTTACAGCTGCCAAACAAACCAGTTGAAGTTGTTGGGTCACTTCTTTATTTGTGAAATGCAATAAAATAAAGATGAAGACATTCTCAGAGTGGGTTCTTTTACTTTTTTGCCAGAGCAACTGGAAAATCTCTGGAGAATCATAAAAATTCATAAAGCACTTTGTTGACCGGTGTTGATCCTGTTACTTATTGCTGGTTTAGAGTATTCCTGTGGAGAAGAACCGCCTGCCCTGCCAGTCCAGCTTCTAACCCTCCTTCAGGAACCACGTAATGGGTCCCATCGTCAACTCTCTGAGGGTCCAACGCCTTCAGCTGCTGGTTGCTCTGAGCGATGCTGTCCAGACTCCACAGGCGATAGCGCAGACTTTTACCCTGTTTGGCTAGGATGTAAACCTCTTTGACGGTTGTGCTGTCGATGGGACAAGGATCGGGGGTTTCTGCGGCCAGGTGGAGCCAGGGCAGAGTGGGATCGGTGTGGGTGTGCTCTGTGTTCACGCTCCCCTGGTCCAAACCCATAAGTACACCTGCATTCAACAAATAGAATGAGAATTATTTCAGGAGTAAAGGTTGTTTAGATCCTTATCAGTGGTGTTACAAACAAAATAGTCTTGCTGTCATATAAGCTCCTTTAAAAACAGATCATGGCCCATCTGGTCTCACCGGAAGCAACAGCCCAGTGCGCTCTATGCCCGCTTCGTTGGCACGGCTCGTGGTTTAAGTCGTTATCATATCTGAGCTCAGTCAAGAAACTTCCAACAGACACCATACAGACATGAGATAAAACATTCGTCAGTTCTGCCCTCGTGAGTAGGTTGTGTTTGGATACGGGATGAGAACAGGTTGCCCCGCCCACAGGTGCTTAAAGATGGCGGCGCCGTTACAACCACTCAGACCTCCGGACAGCAGTTCAGCCTTACAGCCACAAACCTCTTCTGCTAGCAGGGCCAAGTTGGAGGCTGAAAAAATAAACAACCAACAGGAACAAAAGTTAACTCTTTAAAGAACAAGTCACCCCCTACCAGAGTATTAAGCCTGATTTATGCGTCTCCGTCTGCGTCAGTGCGGAGACACGCAACGCCATTATCCGTCCTTGCGTAGGGCACGCAAGTACGTACGGAGTCGAGCCCACTTTTTTAAACATCCGTCGAACGAGACGGATTACGCAAGCTTGTGATTGGTCAGGACGCCGCTGTTTACAGCGGCGCCATTGCAAAGAGAGCCGAGGATAACTAGCGGCAGACACGGAGAAGCTTGAAGAATACCTCGTGAAAAAACTCTTAAAAATATGAACGTTTAATTCTCCCGTGAATGGAGGAGTGAAAAGATGTGCAGCAAGCGTTTTATTTGTGGACGGAAATGACAGGAAACGTGGGTTTAGAGGTGGGGAGCGCATGAAGAGGTGGGAGAATGAGAGACAAATATGTCCGTGTTAAAAGTCTCTTATATACACAAAAAACACAATATAAACACACTATCTTGGACCGATACATGACAGGATACCACAGAACAGCGCTACGCCCTCTGTTGTCCTGCAGGGCAATTGCTTTGCAACACTCTCCAGGAGACGGAGAAGTAAAAGAGCAAAATGCTTCCGTCAGTCCGTGCGTGTCTGTCCCTTGCGGAGCTGACGGAGAAGCATAAACCAGGCTTTACTCCGCTCCCACTTCTTGTTTGAAAAATGCAACAAATGCTGTGGCCGAGAGGGCGGAGCCGCTAACAAATACACACACACACAGGCTCACAATGACACTGTGACATCATATGGTACCAGCTAACGTTCTAGGGTACCTCTTAGCCAATAGTGATGGCAGATTTAAATTTAAATGCAGTGCAGAGTTTTTACCTGACAACGGAACAACACTGACAGTTTTAGGCAGAAAATTAAAATTTTAACTAAAATGCACTAAAGTGCTAAACTATTGACTACACGTGTCTGCAGCATGATTAGACACACATTTATTTAATTTATCAGAAAAAAGTTGATTTGAGGGTGACTTGCTCTTTAAAGGGCTTGAGTTAAAAAAAACCAGGAAATGATTATTCACTGAAAAGAATCATATTTTTGTGCCGTAGTTTTTGTATTATAGTTAAGGTTTTTTTTTTGTCTGTAAGTAGGGGGAAAATAATCGAAGAGCCATGTTACCTGAAAACATTTCTCCCTGAGCTGTGTACCCCCGTCTCATTGCTGTCTGAACCACGGTCTCCATGCTGATGGCCTGCTGCAGCTGCAGGAGGTGAGTTGCCATCCACAAGGCCACTAAACCACATCTGAAAAAGAAATCTTTTATGATTTCTAGTTTAAATTATTAAGTCTTAATTAACAAATATTAAACTTGACTTACTGTGGACCATCTTGGATGAGAGAAGGCACATATGTGTTCACCAGTATCCACTGCAGGTCCTTCCTGAATCTATTAAAAAATATATCAAATAATTTTAAGATAACTATTTGACGGTGAGCAGAAATCCTTCTGGCTAAGATGAGCTGGAACCTATTAAACATAAATCACTAATCTGAAGAGCAGCAGATCATGTCCTGATTTTTCATCTAGCTAAGGTGTAAACAAGAATAAAATATTTGATAAAATAAACAACTGCACGCTTATTTCTAATGACTGTGGTTAAAAATATAGCATCTGATACAAATGTTTGATCAGATAACAAGCATGAAATTTACTGCAAATGATGTGCATTCAGATGCAGAATTTCTCCTTGCATTTAGTCCATTTTTATTCCAAACACAAAAATGACGTATGTTTGGATCTCACCGACTCTCTCTCTGGCGGACTAGTAGACAGGCCTCAGTGTGGTCCCCCTCTAGAGGACTCTTGCTGCTGGCTATAGTCTGGTACAATTTCTTCTTTGCTGTTAAAGAGGGTGGAGCTGCAAGAGCAGGTGGAGGTGGAGGCGGACCAGGAACAGGTGGTGGTGGAGGAGGAGGTAGTGCTAACGGACACTCCAGAGGCATCTTCTCAGAACTCCTTCACCCTGAGACAAAGTGGTTTTGATACGGTTTTCTGTATTTTTGCAGTTCATAGTCATAAAATACTCAGCCCCACACTTACCTGCTCTCATGAGCTTTTACCAGCGTGTCAGAACAGAAATTAATATGAATGCAACATTAGAGACATAAATGTAAGTTGGCAAATTAAGTCTCATTCGGATTGGTTTTTGTCGATAAAGATGTTGAAATTAAAAATAATGTATAAAAATCAACTACGCTGACGTCAGCATAAAAAGCAACTCTCAAAAAATACAAAACATGATACAAAGCATGCGGTAAACTTCGTTTATCGTCATTATTATTAACTCCGTTCCATTTCATGTAGATGTAAACTCAGCAAATTCATCTTCTTCCTTTTTTAATGAAACTGCAATTAGCTTCATTACCGCCACCAACCGGTAAGGAAGTGTAAATCAGAACACGCAAGCCGGTGTTGTGCCATAAATCGACTCGCTGCCAAAAAATGATCAGCCACCGCGGGATCGCGCACGGTTAGGGTAATTGCATTTCTAGACGAAATTCCCCGGCATTTTGCCCTAAAACTCAGCATATCTAGCAATATGGACATTCAGAAAGCAGAGATAACCTCTTCCAGTACTTAAACAGATGTGTATCGCGGATATTAGTTTTTCCAGTTCGGAAGTTGTTTTAAGTGTTGCTATTTAACTTAAAAGTTCACAATGAGGATATATTAATCCTTTTTGCAATATTTGCGATTGAAAGATGGTTTGTGGTAAGAACTGGCTTTCTTTATGTTACAGCCTTGATACTAAAAAATAAATAAACAGTGTAAAATGGCGCCCTGTATTGAATGTAAACGTCGTATAAATGTAAATAAACAATTCTCCAGCGATTTGGTTTTTTCCCCTTCCTTTCTTTAGTCCACTTGACATGGAGCCACAGTTAACTAGTTTGGGGCACATTTTTACTTGAAAAATAGTATTTAAACTGATCAAGCTTATTGGCTTTAATGACACTGTGTAGGTTACTATCTATACATTACTTTGCTCTATTTAAAAGTAACAAGATAAAAGCACTTCAGCACATAAAATTAAGATTGTCACTTGCCAAATAGAGACTACACCCTCCTGTTTACCTATAAGAAATGCTTCAAAATATCTTTAAATTCTTTATTGATGATTTAATTGTAGACAACTAAAATGGCATTTTACTTGCCAAAAAGTGATTGAATCGCTCAAACCATCTTTCAATCGCAAATATTGCAAAAAGGATTAATATATCCTCAATGTGAACGTTTAAGACAAATAGCAACACTTAAAACAACTTCCGAACTGGAAAAACTAATATCCGCGATAAACATCTGTTTAAGTACTGGAAGAGGTTATCTCTGCTTTCTGAATGTCCATATTGCTAGATATGCTGAGTTTTAGGGCAAAATCCTGGGGAATTTTGTCTAGAAATGCAATTACCCTAACCGTGCGCGATCCCGCGGTGGCTGATCATTTTTTGGCAGCGAGTCGATTTATGGCACAACACCGGAGTCGAGTGATCGGACATGGACCAGGAAGCAACAGCGCCCTCCTGAGTAAAAACAAAGCAGTACATATACTTGTTATTCTGGTAACACTTTACAATGACGTACGCAAAATTGTGCTTCGTAACCAGTGAGTAATGAGTAATGAAGGAGGGAAGAATAGGTAGTTAACCAGTAGTTACTGGTGAAAACGCTCATCAGTCTTTTTTCATGGTCTAATACGTAGTTAACCAATACTTACTGGTAAACACCCAGTCTTATTCAGAGACTAATAGGTATGTTTTTGTGCTTTACTAGGGAACATATTTGTTCCTCAGTAGGTACTTGGGAGAAGGCTTCACTTTAAGCTAGACAAAAGCAGTAGGTAATGGTTAAGTACCTAGTAGGTACAGATTAGTACCTTCTAAGTTGGGAGAAGGCTTCACTTTCCATCATCTTGCGATGGACGGATGCCGACAATGGACAAAAAAGTGACAGACGTGTGAAGTCAAGATGAAACAGTGATGTTAAATCACTGTGATGTTGCAAATTATCTGCATTGTTCATGAAGTTTACAAAAAAAAAAAGTCCACAGGCACTACATTCATTTGGGATTTGTTCCTTAATGCGTTCAAAGATTAGTCCCTGAATAAAACTGTTGGGTTTTCACCAGTATGTATTGGTTAACTACCTATTCTTCCCTGCTTCATTACTCATTACTCCCTAAGTCGTTCCCTAGTTACGAAGCATAATTTTACGTACCTTATTGTAAAGTTACTGTTATTCTTCTTAGGTTGTCTACTCTGCCTTTTTTTGACGTCATGTTTTTCCAGTATTTCTGATTTACTGTTCAATTCAATTCAAAAATACTTTATTAATCCCAGGGGGAAACTGATTGCTGTAGTATCTCAGAATAATAATAATAATCAAGTCATCAAAGAGTTATTGTATATTACAATGGCTGTTGGCAGGAAGGATCTCCAGTAGTGTTGCAGCGAAACTGAAGAAGCCTCTGACTGAAGACACTCTTCCGTTGTCGGACAGTCTTGTGAAGAGAATGCTCACGGTTGTCCATAATTTTCTTGATTCTCTGGAGAATCCTTCTTTGCATTATCTCCTCCAGTGGTTCAGAAAGTGCCGAAACTCTGACTGAGTCCTTGAAAGGGCTTGGAGTTCCTCCATCTTGTTGGCCAGTGATCTCACATTGCCCATTATGATCGATGGGAGAGATGGTTTGAATTTCCTCTTTCTCTGTCTCCGTTTTGCTCCCGCTCTGCACCCACGCTTCTTGCGTTTTAGTTAATTTGGGATTTGTCGCGTCAGTTGAGGTATTATTTCAGCCTTTTCAATGTTAAACAGCTGCTCCCGATTGTAAACCAGCTTGTTGCCATGGTTACGCATCATAACAAATGCTCAAAAAGTGAAAAAACCTAAACAATAGCAGCAAAAGTCCTCCAAGCTTCACAGCACCAGAAACAGAAAAGTAAAGTGTCCAAAAAAATACCGTTTTTCTTGAGAAACTAGAAGAAAAAATGTCCAAGAAAAGGCTAAACTTACATATAGTTAACAGAGCTACTCCAACATGCAGCCACCCAGAGCAGCGTAAATAAGAAGAAAAACCATTTTAGTTTTAGCCATTGTAAGTTAAATGGTGTTTTGAGTTTCGCTATTTTGATTTACACCGTGTGGTGGCGGTAATTCACCAGAACGGTTTGGTAACCAACAAATAAGACAAAGAAGAAGAATTTCTTCCTCTTGTTTTCTGGGGAAAAAAGTCTCGGAGCTTTCATTCAATTTCAGGTTGGTACTACGTCAACATCTAACGCGTTTTACATGGTTAAGTGCATTTTAACTGTTGATTTAAAATATTTTTGACAAGCTTAAACGATTTGAGGTAACGTTGGAACTAGTAGAAGTATTTAGGCAGATTAATGACGCTAAATGCTGTTAGTTAGCTTTTAGCTAACACGCTGTTGTTGCCTTCCGCCATGTTTGTTACCATTGCGTTTAGATGCTGGATTTTTGAATGAAATTGGACTTGAAACTGCGTGAAAATAAGCACATGTTTGAGTCTTTATTTTATTTTTAGCTATTTTATTTATTCTCCTAGCCTTAAACATGACCACTCCAGCAGAGGTGCGCCCCAATCACACGATCTACATCAACAACCTAAACGAGAAGATAAAGAAAGATGGTGAGTTTCGCATCATTTTCTTTCCTTTTCTTTGTTTATTTCACGCACAATTAATGCAAAGTCTCCTTTATTATTGTTATTGATTATTTGTTGTTTGTGTGTCTCCCTCAGAGCTGAAGAAGTCCCTTTATGCCATCTTCTCTCAGTTTGGGCAAATTTTGGACATTTTGGTCGCACGAAACCTGAAGATGAAGGGTCAGGCGTTCGTTATCTTTAAAGAGATTAACAGCGCTTCTAATGCATTAAGGTCCATGCAGGGTTTTCCTTTCTATGATAAACCTATGGTACGTCTATTAAACATGTTTAATAATGCACAATTTAGACATTTCTGATGGAAGTACACGTGTGACTCAAATATATACTTTCTTGCAGCGAATCCAGTACTCTAAAATGGATTCGGATATTATAGCTAAGATGAAGGGGACTTTTGTGGAGCGTGACCGTAAAAAAGAAAAGAAGAAGCCCAAACCTGAATCTACAGGAAGTAAAAAAAATGCTGCAGCGATTGCTGGGGTACCTTCTGCAATCCCAGTGAGTGCACTAGGTGTTTTTTACAATCATGGTTAAACAATCTAGATATTTGTTAGTGAAGTAACGGCAGGTTTTAGATGCATTAAGAGTTAAAAGCTCAATTAACATGAATAGAAACTAAACGTTTGTCATTCTTTAGGGAATGCCACCAATGAACCAGGCTCCTCGCATGATGCACATTCCAGGCCAGCCACCTTACATGCCCCCTCCTGGAATGATGCCTCCTCCTGGGATGGCTCCAGGCCAGATTCCTCCTGGTGGGATTGCTCCTGGTCAGATGATGCCAGGACAGATGCCTCAGCAGGTAGCTTGTGTTCTTTTTCCTCACAGAACGTTTTGTTTCCTGTCCTGGTAGTTTAATCCTTACTCTCTTCCCACAGGTTTCAGAAAATCCACCCAACCACATTCTCTTTCTCACCAACCTGCCAGAGGAGACGAACGAACTCATGCTGTCCATGCTCTTCAACCAGTCAGTACTCATTTTCTAGTCATACATTTAAACAGATGCGTAAAAATGGATCAACTTTGACTGTTTTGTGATGCTAACATTGCAAATAATCTGAGAATTTAATTCTCTCAAACTGTTTTTTCTGTAATTGTAACTGAGCTGCTCTGTGCGTTAAAGGTTTCCCGGCTTCAAAGAGGTGCGTCTTGTTCCTGGTCGTCACGACATCGCCTTTGTGGAGTTTGAAAACGAGGTGCAGGCTGGCGCGGCACGAGATGCTCTGCAGGGCTTTAAGATCACTCAGACGAACGCCATGAAGATTTCTTTTGCCAAGAAATAACGCATCTTCCACCAGGTCCTGATTTAATTTGCATACATGTCCGTACATGTAAGTATCTGAGTCAAGTTGCTGTTAAGAAAGTTGGAGTGAAAAACTGGGAGCTCTAACTTTGTGCAATGGTTTGGCTTTAATCTGTAATGCTTGCGCAACTTGGTGTCCACTTCTCTGTTTTTCTGTTTCATAGTTTAAATTTTTTATTATAAACTGTTAAAGCATTGCACCCAGTGTCTGGTCCACCAGACATTGTACCTGGAGCTATTCTTTTTTTTTTATCTTGATTAAAATTTGAATTGGTAAAACACTAGACTGTTCTTTCTTTCGCTGTGTGTGTGTGTGTGTGTGTGTGTGTGTGTGTGTGTGTGTGTGTGTGTGTGTGTGTGTGTGTGTGTGTGTGTGTGTGTGTGTGTGTGTGTGTGTGTGTGTGTGTGTGTGTGTGTGTGTGTGTGTGTGTGTGTGTGTGTGTGTGTGTGTGTGTGTGTGAACAGGTTTGAGCATAAAGGATAACTCAACATTTCCTGTCTGAAATGTCAAAGAAAGGAATTGAGTTTAGAGTTGCATTTGCTTAATCAAGCCAAGCCAACTTTGTTTATAAAGCACTTTAAAAACAGCCCTCGCTGACCAAAGTGCTGAACATAAAAACATAAAAGCATAAAATAGAATACAGTGTAAGGTTAAAAGCACACTAAAATAAAACACAAATCAAATAGAAATCCAAAACGTGTTGAAAGCCAAGCTAAAAAGGTGGGTCTTTAAAGATGATTTAAAAGTTTCCAGTGAGGAGGCCTTTCTAAGATGTGCCGGCAAAGAGTTCTGGGAGCAGCATCAGCGAAGGCCCTATCCCCTCAGCTTACGCTGTGTCCTTGGAACGTCCAGGAGCAACTGGTCAGATGACCTGAGCGACCGAGAGGAGGAGTGAATGTGCAATAGCTCAGAGAGGTAGGGCGGGGCAAGACCGTTTAAAGACTTAAAAACAAATAAAAAGTTTAAAATGAACCCTAAAATGGACAGGCAGCCAGTGCAGTGAAGATAAAACAGGAGTGATGTGCTCACTCCTCCCTGTACCAGAAAAGTCGAGCAGCAGCATTTTGCATTTTAATCAAAGATTAATTAGAAATATACAAGAAATGCACCTGTAGCCATATTTACTATTTGCTGGCAACAGAATAACGTACAGAAAAGGAAAGCTCTGAAAAACATTTTAAAATACAGATATGTGATCATTTTCCAGAACTGATATTTTTCATATTTATTGTGTTACTATTTACAGATAAGGGAAATAAAATTAATTCCACAGGTATCCCCTCTCAGCCTTGCAGAGTTATTGCCAGTCTAAAAATCTGAAAGGTTGGATTCATGAGCTTCAGGCGCTGAAACGTGTGAATTGAGGCTCAGAGGTTTGATGTGGACGGGCACCGTCAGCTCCGCCCGGCTGGCACACACAGGGCCTCCCTGTTGTGGACTTAAACTGTGCCCTTGGTAATTGTCTGCAGGTCAGCTCAGCAATGTACACAAAAATTCACATTCTTCTGCACTTTCCCAAGCCTTTCCACACTCCCTTATTTTGCCTTGAGAAAGCTCTGACCTTAGCCACCAGGGTGGGGGGTGGGGGGGGGTGGTGTGGGGGGGATCTTGCAATCATGACTGCCCTTTTACAAGAATGATGATCTTTTAAGAGAATAAAAGGAAATGTATTTGTTTGATTGGAAGCTGTGACTGTCAAGTGTTAGAAATCAGCCATGATGTATTTATAGAACCGATAAGGCGTGTGAGAAAGAGAAACAATCAGACTATCAGAAATAGATGTTAAATATAACAGGGTTTGTTTATAGCTTTAGTGAAGTCCTTATAAAGACAGGGTTTCTTCTCCGTACTGGAAAATATGAGAAATAAAGTTAAGAATTAGTCTGACAAGTTCCTTAACCTTCCCACTTTCTTTATGTGTGGCCCCGTGAGGAAAGTTGACCATTGAGCAGGATTGATGGTTTATCCATTGAGGTCCATGTGGCAGGACTGAGGTGGTGCTCACTCCTTACCCCTGTGCCACGTAGACCCAAGGGATAAACCATCAACCCTGCTCAATGGTCAACTTTCCTCACGAGGTCACACCCATTAGGACAGTGGGAGGGTTAATGCCCTGGATGCTGTAGGAATGTGTTGGTTGATGTGGCTCTGCAATATCACGTGGACATCGGAGGCAGTTCCACTGGATTGGCAGACCAGGGTGGTGGTCCTCCTATTTAAAAAGGGTAGAATGTCTCCTCCAGTTCAGGGACGAGGTCCTGTCCCAAGTGGAGGAGTATCTCGGGGGTCTGTTCATGAGTGAGGGAAAGATGGAGCACTAGCTTGACTGGTGGATTGATGCTGCATCTGCAGTGATGTGGGAGTTGTACTGGTCTGTTGTGGTGAAGAGAGAGCTGAGCTGGTCGATCTACGCCCCAACCCTCACCTACAGTCATGAGCTTTATGTAGTGACCGAAAGAATTAGATTGTGGATATAAGCGGCCAAAATGAGTTCTCTTCCCAGGGTGGCTGGGCTCTCCCTTAGAGATAGGGTGAGAAGCTCGGTCATCTGGGAGGGGCTCAGAGTAGACTTGCTGCTCCTCCACACCAAGAGGAGCCAGTTGAAGAGGGTTGGGCATCTGGTCAGGATGCCTCCCTGGTGAGGTTGTCTGGGCACATCCAACCAGGAGGAGACCTAAAGGAAGACCCAGGACACGCTAGAGGGACCATGGCTGTGTCTCAATTCAGGGTCTGCATCCTACGTCGGCCGGTTACGTCACAGCGCCGCGACTAGGCCTGTCCCAATTCGAAGACTCCTTCAAATGCGGTCGACGAATGCGGCCTTCTTTTCGCCTGAATGAAGGATGGGTCGGGTGTATCCTTCAATAGGTAGCATTTCCCAAGATGCCTTGCGGGCCAGCCGGCAGAAAAACTTAAAAACAATGGCGGACAGTGAAGCGGGAGCTGTCGGAGAGGATTGCGCATATAAATGTAAGTATAAACTTGAAAACTGTTAGGTTAAGGACTTTTTGTGATACATGAACGTTATTTTAGTTAGAAATGTAACAGTAAAAGTGCTTGTATTGCGGTCTCGGCTCGTATGTTCGGCCGCTCGGTGTCGTACTTCTCCCGCTACGTTTTCCCCTTGATTTTAATAGAAGTTTGTATTTTAGGAACAACCAGGGAATTTATTAAGCTTAGGGCGGAGATGGACCACATGATCACCGGAGCAAAGTATTCGGCGGCTGTGGCATGGAGGTACAATAACATCTCATATTTTAAAAACTCGTTTGAGTTTATTTTTTTTTCTGCGAAAACATGAAAGGAATAACCCGTTGTCCTCTTTTCTCTATCTGTTTTTTTTCTACATGTTTGTTAAGACTATTCTGGAGAAAATGGGCATCCAGGGGAAGGTGCCAGCGATGACCAGCTTCTGGAGCTGATCAGGGAGGACATGAGGCTGCAGAGGGAGGCAGAGCAGCAGAGGACACAGGAGAGAAGGAAGAACTTTGACAGCTTTTTACTTTGCTTGAAAAAAATGGTTAATAAAGATTAAACATGTACATATAAAAGAAATATCTAAATAAAATCAGTTCTGCATTAAACTCTTGAATTTTATTTTTGTTTACAAATGAGAATTGTTTACTAGATGGTATCCGCTGGGTCTTGAAAAGTCTTAAAAGGTGATAAATCGGTTTTGGTCAAATTAAGACCCTTAGAAAGTATTAAAAACTATTATCACATCTTTGCTCATGCTCAGCTAGTCTAAAGTATTTTCTCTGAATTAGCTCTCCAACAGTCAAGGAAATGATTAACCCCCAGAGACCCACGGTTGTAATATTACAACATCAGATTTAAGTCTACAAAAATAAACCTTCCCCATTTTTTTTCTTTTTAAAACCACATTTACATTGCTAATAGGTCCTATTGTTCAGTTCTGCAACACTATTGGCTGTTAAAATGTGTAAATAGGCCCGTTTATCTGGCCTCCTAGAACAACATGTGAAAGGTTAAAAAAAGATTTTGCAGTTGTTTTCTAAATTTGGGTTTCTGGGGGTTAAAAAGCTAAATAAAACGTCGAGCTCCATCGTTTAAAGTTCCTTCTCCCTTCTGCCCAGCGGTTCCACGGTTGCTAAGCGACGGAACGTTGGCCGAGGGAGTTCATGAAGGCTAGGCCTGTCCAAATTCACAGCCGTTAACATCCGGTCTACCCGGCCGACGGAGGACCCAGCCCACGTCGGCCGGGTGGGCTGGGTCCTTCGAAGGATGCAGACCCTGAATTGAGACACAGCCCATGTCTCTCTGCTGGCCAGGGATGCCTTTGATTCCCCCGGAGGAGCTGGCCCAAGTGGCTGTGGCTGGGGAGAGGAAAGTCTGCTTCCCTGCTCAGGCTGCCCCCCCCCCCCCCCCCCCAATCCAGCCCCAGAGAAGTGGACAAGAATAGATGGAATTAGTCTGACAAGATAAAACTGAATCAGAATTTCTTCCAATAAATTAGTAACATGAAAATTCATCTTTATATTTATAAAAAGAACTATCAGCACATTTTATAAAATTTTTGTTTCACTTATCAAAGGTAGACCGACCTTTCAATCCCTTAAAATCAACTGTGACCCATCTGAAACTGTCAAATACATTAAAAAGATTTATTTTCCATAATTTTTCTCTCTTGTTAGACCTCTTCATCCCTAATGTTGGTCTTTTGGCCTCTGGACCTTTTTATTTTCCTCAAACCTAACCCTAACCCCTCAAGTGGTAAAATGTACCTCTTGTAAATCAGATCAATGGTCAGGAAACACAATAATATTTTGTTTATTAATGGGAGGCATTAGAAGAACATGTGTTTTTCAGTAAATGTGTCCCATGTGTTTATTTTCATCTTTAGCACATGGGTCATTTTTGACCCATTTACTGAAATAAAAGTCAAAGGTCAATTTTTAGCAACAGAATGAGAATCCAAACATAAAATAAAAATACCGAGCAATGCAAAACTCAGATAAAACAAAAACAAATCATTCAAAAAGTTGTGTGTGTTTGTGTGTGTGTGTGTGTGTGTGTGTGTGTGTGTGTACATGCGCTTGCACATGCTCTGTCTTCTCAAATCTCCAGTGGGTCATGGTATTGCTGCTACTGCCACTGTCCCATAGGGTCACAGTCAATGACTCGATGCAGGGTTTCTATAACTTTTAACTAACTGGAATAATAAACTGAACTCAGTCCACTGATAGGTTCAGTTGAAATGTTTACTTTGTAAATTGTCTTAGACAACTCTTGTGATTTGAAATTAGACTGGATTGAGTTGAATAAGAAATAGAAAATGTGGAAAATGTTTTCTAGACTGATTTTGTTGAATTAATAAGTTAAATTAATTTACATGATATTATGAATAAGACCCAAAGCAGGTTAGGTTTCTTGTTAAAGCCTTTCCATCAAAAGGACAACAGTGACCACCAGAGGGTGCCAGATGTCTAAACTCCGAGCCGCAAAGTTCTTCAGATTTCTCCATCAGGTGAGTTACACCTGGATAAACCAGAGCTGCGTTTACTGGATCCTCTAAATGTTCAACTCATGCTCGAATGTAACTGCTCCATATGCAAATCACAGCTCTCCTCCTCAAGAGGCCCCTGTTCCGCTCCGGGGTCATCACTGAGCGCCAAGCCGCGGAAACACCACTGGTTGTCGGGGGGGATGAAGGAGAGAGAGGAGGGGTGGGGGATCTCATTAGATGTCCTCCGATAAAAAGGGGGGCATTGTGTGGAGGTTTCGGATCCAGCATAACGCGCACTGGAGGTCAGATGTGGAAAATATGCTATGTGACGGGTGCCAATATTCAAAAGATGCCTTCACACTCTGCGAGTCTCTTTTATATTTATGCGCTCAGCCAGTTATCGGGATCCGGCGGCTTCGTTAGGCAGCTGCATGCGAACAGCAGGATGTAGCTGCAGCTGTCGGAACAAGTTTCATCACTCATCTGATCTATAACGATTACTTTTCATTAGAAACCAGCCTGCAGGTGGAGTTGCGCCACCTGCGTGCAGCTCGTGCGCAAACCCCAACCCTGCGGGTATCAACTTTTTCTTTAGTTTCAGACTTATTTGTGTGACCACTTTCGTCTGTAGAAGTAAAGAGGAGGTTAACTATGCAATATTTCAGTTTGGAAGAAACCTTTTCTGAGGCCTCCCGGACGGAGCCGTGTCGTGGAGGCGGTTAATTGGCCCATTCGGAGCGTTGAAGTGAAACTGGAGGACAGAAACCATGCTGCGACAAAAGGTGTGGAAACCTAGATTGGAGATCTGTGGTGCGAACCCATGTGAATGTGACATAAAGAGTTGGGTTGGCTGTAGATTGCTGAAGAAGCGCGCGCTGGTGAGCTCCGCTGGGAACCAGAGAGGAGCTGAGAGACGGATACTCCCTGCCTCAGGACACACCCTCCACGCTCCTCTCTCTCCCTCTCATTGTTTCCCACACTGACTCTGTCGCCGCCAGGCTCCGGGATCGGGTTCACGTATCCAACGAGCCGGTGTGGATGAGAAGACTCCAGAAGCGCAAACCGTTCCCCCGAAGAGACGCAACTTTTCTCGCTTTGCGGAACCTTTACGCGCGTGCACTTTTTAATTTTGGTTTATTTTCTGAATGTGGCTCAAGCTTGAAGACAAGACGGTAGATGAAGAGAGAATGTGTCATCTAATTGGGATGAGAGCTCAAGTCAAGTGAGCCGGCAGATTGGACCCTGAAATCCTCTTAACGCAGGTGGTGGCAGGAACAAAGTGCAAAGGGAGCGTGTTTACATATGAAGTGCGTGGGTTTGTGTGCATGCATCCTTCTTGGATAAATCTTGCCCGGACACTGCAGCGAGAGAGGGAGGGAGAGAGGAGGGGGATCAGGTGCGCGCCTGTGTGGGTGGGTTTGTTAGGAGGGGTATCTGGGGACTTCGCTGATGTCGAAGCGATGAGGAAGTTGCTTTGCGGGAGTTTGACCGTTTGAGTCCGGCGAGGAGGAGAAGAAGAGGAGGAAAGGAGGAGGAAAAGGAGGAAGGGTGTCACCACCATAGGAGCGCACAGCCTGGCCCCCAAAATCCCCGATGGATACAAGAGCGCACAAGAGAACTCCCATGGAGCCCAGAGGCATGGATCCAAACATGAGGTCCAAGCGGCACCGGGGACACCTCCACCTGCAGCGGGCTCTGGTGTTTCTCCTGACTCTCACAGTGCAACCACAGGTGAGTCTTTGTTTTAGTCCTGATCCAAGAGGATTGTCCTCGAACCCCAAACAGCTGGTTCTTTATTTTAAAAGTCATCTGTTTTTATATACCTCATAATAAAGTCCGCACACAGCGAGGCGTCCGTCTTTGTGCTGCTCTGGCGCTGCGCCCACCTGTTGTTTCAGCCTCACGCAGCAGAGACGTGCTGTAACCCAGGTTGGAAGAATGGGATGCAGAGATTAGAGCAGCACGAAAAACAGTACCTCAAAATGTATGCACAAATAATTGTTTATTAGAAAGAAAGAGCATAGTGCTGCAAACAGATCATTACAAGCTCATGTGGATAAATGGATTAGGTTTAAGACACAACTAACACTTTAGCATCCACCACATCTTATATTAAACTCAGTTTTATGCATTTGTGAATGAAATTCCCTTGGGTCTCTGTTGTTACACCCTTGTGGTGCTTTTCTCACATGAAAAACCTTAATGAATCGGTGCAACATCTACAAATAGAGGAGTAAAAATCCCCTTTTCTTGCACCTTTTTCACGCTAGCTGTGGTGTGACAGGACTCAGGAGGCTCAGAAGTGATCCAGATGTGTAAATGTTCTTGTTTTAATGCCGAGCTTCTTGCACAAACAGCATCTGTGCCTTAAGGGTGTGTGTGGAGCACGGGGCCGCAGGCGGACAAGCTCAGGGGCGTGTGAATGTTAAATATTCGGGCAGCGTTGCACCTCACAGCTGAGGAACAACACACTCCTCTGCTTTCAACCAGGATCTGCTGCAGCTGCTGGAGAAAATTTAGGATGGAGGGGATGGTCCTGCGCTCATCTCCAGCAGTGCTGGATTTATATTTCTATCTCTGCAGCACAAAAACCATCACAGCACGTCGTTCTGGTTTGCAGAATGAATCTTTGTATTCTCAACTAGAAACTCAATTTCTGAAATGAGATTAGAGAGCACTTCATTGCATGCCTTTGAAGTGGATTTGTATCACAAGTGTGTGCCACAGATTCAAAGCGGAAGAAAATGTAACGATTGACTAAACCAAATTTAAAAAAAAATCAGTGTGTGATTTAAAGAGAAGCACACAGTTTCAATCCGCTCTTTATAATCATGTTCAAATATCTGGGATATTTTAGACTTAAGAAAAAAGCTAAATGCTCATGAAAATCAAAAATGTCCATTTCTTTTATGATTAAAACACTCAAGGCTCATCAGTTAAGGATGATCTGAGACACAAGGACATTTTGACACAAATGTCTTTCACAACAATTCCTATTGCAGCTCATTAAATATACTTAATAAGTTGAATGAATATTTGCTACAATTTCAAAAATGCAAATTAAAGAGCCTTAAAATGACTTCTAGATAAATAAACATGACTTTTTAGATAAATCCTAACCCTGCCATGTGTGAGCACACTTTTACTTTATCCATGCCAGAGTTTTTGATTTTAGTCTGAATGTCTTAGCAGCTTGTGTAAAGTTAACCACACGTGTGGTATTTTCCTCCTCTGAAACATCTTTTAACAGCCTCTGAGTGAGTAAGCTGCAGCTTCATTATGGGACCTTAAATCTGGATTACTTGTGCTGCAGGCCGAGTTCTGACTTTAGCAAGCCTTTAATAGCTGAAGTCCTCCGGCGGAGGCCGTCTGGGCTTTTGGCCCCTGTGTCTCCTCGTCTCTGGTCTGACTGAGCGCTGAAACGCTGGAATGCTGGGAATGGCTTCAGCAGAGAGCAGAGGAGAAGGAAGAAAGGAGGATGTAGAGTGATGAGCGCCACTGTATCTCCACAGGCCTTTTGATGTAGACAGGTCCTACCCCCCGATGCCTCCCCCGACACAAACCCTGAGACCTCTCTGGGCTCAGGGACTGGGTGCAGCAGAGGGACACACATCCACTAGCCTTTATGATGGACTCTGGACATGTGAGTTGTCATAAGTTTTATGTTTAGACAACAAATCCACAAAGACTGCGAATTATTCAGCTCGGCGGCTGAGATTTACTGGCAAACTGAGATTGTGGAGGCTTTATTTTTGTGTTTATGTTTGGAGGAAGCATAAACAGGATCGCACACACACTTTCTATCACGCACACACCTGACCTTGATGCTCCAAAACTCTCAGGAGGTCTTATTAACTCCAATGTGTGTGTGTGTGTGTGTGAACTCTGAGAAACGAAAGATGAAACAGAGGATGACAACAATGCAGACAAGCTGATGGTCTCAAAGAAAGAGAGAGAGAGAGATGACAGCAATATTATCCAACTTGTTCCCAGACAGAAAGAAGTGAGGAAGAAGAGAGAAAAAGAGTGTAAGCACATATCCCACGTTCCCCTGGGAGGAGAGAGAAGAATAAGAAGGGAGTGGTGGCGATGCATTGTACAGAAAAAAGGAGAGAGAAGAAGGGACGAGCGAAAAAGAAGCTGAGAGATAAACAGAGGAAAGTTGGTTTCTGTTCATGATTCAGATGGAAAAGTTTGTTTTTTCCTCATCAGAGGTCAGATGGAGTTGTGGGAATCAAAGTTATGCTCTTGTTTTTATTTCTTCCTCCTCCACTTCTCACTCTGTTTTCTGAGAAATGTTATAAGGGGGCGACGGTGGCACAGGAGTTAAGTGCTCGCCCCATAATCGGAAGGTTGCAGGTTTGAGTACCGCTCAGTCACTGTCGTTGTGTCCTTGGGCAAGTGTAACACTTTGGAAGCGCTAATGAACTAAGTTAAATGAAGTATGGCTAGTGTATACTGACTTTATTAGAACCCAGGAACAACTGCTGGAGCTGGTTGTCAATAATAAAAGAATACACAACACGTTGAAATAGTTTGCAAAGACAATATATTGAATAATTATAAATAAAATAAACACAAATTAACAGGTTCCACTGCTGCAGCACTGATAAATAAGTTAAAGTGCACTTTGAAAGTTCTAGTTCTAGTGAACGTTCTAGAGGAACACTGACTTCGGTCTGATCCCCTGAATAGTTAACACTCCTTTGCAGGACTTGAAGATCCAATGGATTCACACCGAATTAATTGTCCAGGATGTGATCCGAGTGTCCATGAAAATTATCCAAGCGCTTTGTCAAAGAGTACTGAAAAGGGAGGTGTGTGAATCCAAGAATTGATTAAGGAGTTGGGGGTGGACAGAACGTTGTCTGAGACAACTTCCTACCAGACCAGTAGGAAGATGAAGGAGAGGTCTTCTGGCCCCTGGCCAATCGTTAGCTCGCCATCCTTAAACCCTTAAAGGGTCACCTGGCCTGTATTAAACAAACAGGACTAGTAAGACATCTTCTTGCAAATAAGGTGTCCTTTTTCCCTTCGTTTCTTGTGTACACAATTAATTCTTATAAATACATGGTGTTAAAATCAATGTGCATAAACTGTACATTCAATACAAACCCATTATATTTTAGAATATCAGTAAAGCTTTTTCCAAACCAATATACTGCTAGATTAATACTACATAGCTTGGACAAAGTTAGTATCCCACAAAAATAGCAACCAAGAACTTAGCTTTGAGTTCATTGGTGGTATTTAAAAACAAGATCATGCTCAATTGTTTGAAACAGCATTCATCATACATGGTATAGCATTTGCTACCAGCATGCAACCCACTAGCATGCTAGTTGCTAATATGACACAAACAAACACACTCATCTTAAAACTCACCAATTCCAGCTTCTGTATGGTGTATGATGACCCTACAAGGCTCCAGCTCACAGTTGTTGGTGTCTGAGTCAAGTAATATCTTAGCGAATGTCAAACAAATGCATTTGAGATAAGAAAAGCTTTGGTTTTTGATGTACTGACCTGCAACAGCTTTGTCACTTGGCTTTCCCCCACGTCTGCAGGGAGGAAGCCAGTGCAGGCCTTTGATCATGTGATCAACGTCACGTGACTTAGGCATGGTGCATTAAATGACAGAAGACTGTAGGAATTCACCAGATTCACCACATAGGAATTTCATCTTGGTAAAACACTGGACTACACAAGACACTTAACCCACGTTGTCTGCTGGTGGTGGTTGGAGGGACCGGTGGCGCCAGTGCTCGGCAGCCTCGCCTCTGTCAGTGCGCCCCAGGGCAGCTGTGGCTACAATGTAGCTCATCCCCACCAGTGTGTGAATATGTGTGTGAATGGGTGAATGACTGATTGTGTTGTAAAGCGCCTTGGGGGGGTTCCAGGACTCTAGAAGGTGCTATATCAAATACAGACCATTTACCATTTACCATAACAGCTCGGTAGTCTCAAGAATCAGAAGACACAATTAGAAACTATTTACATTAGGAATCAAACCTGTGGAGCAAAGTTTCCAAAACCAAAATTTAAAAAGAGAAGTGACGTTCTCTAAATGAACACAAGCCTCACATTTCAGATGCTGTGATGCTTCTTAAGATGCTAACACAGCAGCAGCAGCAGCTTCCACACAACAGAAATCCACTGCAGGGGCATTTTCTTTGTTGGATTGCTGTGAGCTGTAGCGTCATGAAGGGAAACAAACAAACGAGTCAAACCAAACAAGATGTTTCTGTCTGGTTAAATAAAACCAGCTAAACTTTGATTTAATTCATCAGGAGTGCTAACGTGTTGTGTTTTCTTAAAAGGATTTCCCAAAGCTCTTAAAAATATTTGGATCAAAATGATGAAGCTCCAGAGATGAAACATCACAGCAACCGTCATGATTTCATCACCAATGCATTTTCTCTTACACTGACCCATGCTTCTGATGCTGAAGTTGATCAACTCTGCTGCTCGGAGACGTGAATTAAATCACTTGTTGAGTTCTGCTGAGAGGATGTAAATGCATCGTTTTAAAATTAAGTGATGAAATTCTCTCTCCTCTGTTCTGCTCTGTTCATGCTGCTGGGTCTGGACTCAGGACGTCTGCGCTGTGGGGATGTTTGAGCTTCAGATCTGTCACTTCCAGAACCCACACGGACTCCTGCAGACTGGAGACTGCTGCGACCTGCAGACCAGCGGGGGACAGCGCTGCTCTGCCAGGGACCAATGTGACACTTATTTCCAAGCCTGCCTGAAGGAGTATCAGGCCCGCGTGGCTCCTACCGGATCCTGCACGTTCGGGTCAGGCAGCACCGGCGTCCTGGGTGGAAACTCCCAGTCGCTCCGCCACAGAGGATATGATGGAGGAGGAGAGGATGGGACTAATGGAAACATTGTGATTCCCTTCAAATACGCCTGGCCAGTAAGTACTGGGGGATGTGCGAGTTACCAGCGTGGTTACCAAGGGAACAAGCTATGCTTCAAGTACAATACAAACCCTTCTAACCAATGCTAGATTGGAATGATGATAACCCTCACAGGCAGAGTTCACACTCCTTCAGATGCTGTTTCCTTTTCCAGTAACAGCAGCTAATATCACACCAGTTCACTAAATATCAGCTGTTTTATGGGAGCAGAAAGGAAAGCTCTCCTAGGAAAGGATATCTTCATTCTATTCTGCCTTTTAAAGAGATAGTTTATAGTTTTTACCATTAATCTCTGGAAATATCCATCGAAATGTTCGATAACAATATCATGTGAACATCAGGGGCAGTTCCATTGAATTGGCAGACCGGGGTGGTGGTCCTCCTAAGGGGGACCACAGGCTGTTTTTCTACTACAGGGGGATCCCACTCGTGAGCATCCTTGGTAAGGTCTATTCAGGGGTTCTGGAGAGGAGGATCCATCAGATTGTTGAACCTCAGATTCAGGAGGGAGAATGTGGTTTTCGTCCTGGCTGTGGAACACTGGACCAGCTCTGTACCCTTAGGTGGATTTTGGATGATGCGTTGGAGTTCACCCAACTAAAGTGTTTTGTGGATTTGGAGAAGGTGTTTGACTGCGTCCCTCTGGGGTACCAGGCACTTTGATACAGGCTGTTAGGTATGACCGGTGTCAGAGCTTGGCCCGCATTGCCAGTTGTAAGTCTAGCTCATTTGTGAGAGTTGGCCTCAGCCAAGGCTTCCTTTTATCACCGATTCTGTTCCTAACTTTTATGAACAAGACTTCTAGGTGCAGCCAAGGTGTTGAGGGGCTCTGTTTTGGTGGCCTGAGGATCGGGTTTCTGATTTTTGCAGATGATGTGGTCCTGTTGGCGTCATCAGAACATGATCTATAGTTCTAACTGGAGCTGTTTGCAGCCGAGTGTGAAGCAGCTGGGAAAAGAATCAGCTCCTCTAAATTCGAGACCTTCTCCAGGTCAGGGATGAGGTCCTGCCCCAAGTGAAGGAGTTTAAGTATCTCAGGGTCTTGTTCACAAGTGATGGAAACATCAATGTGAGATTGATAAGCGGATTGGTGCTGCGTCTGCAGTGATGCGGGCGTTAAACCAATCTGTCGTGGTGAAGAGAGAGCTGAACCGGAAGGCAAAGCTCACAATTTACCCGTCAATCTACGTTCCTACCCTCACTCATTAGCTTTGGGTAGTGACCGAAAGAACGAGATTGCAGATACAAGCGGCCAAAATTTGTTTTCTCCGCAGCGTGTCTGTGCTCTCCTTTAGAGATAGGGTGAGAATCTCGGTCATCCGGGAGGGGCTCGGAGTAGACCGCTGCTCCTCCATGTCGAGAGGAGCCAGTTGAAGTGGCTCGGGCATCTAGTTAGGATGCATCCTGGACGCCTGGTTTTCCGGGCATGTCCAACTGGGATGACATCCAAGGGAAGACCCAGGACATGCTAGAGGGACTATGCCTACGTTCCCACTGCAGGCCTTGATGCTCAATTCAGATTTTTTGAGTAAATCTGATATTTTTTGTGTGGCTGTTCACATCATGACTGAAATGCGACATCAAACTCTCTCTAGTGTGTACGCTTCATGGCACCAAAGCAACCCACATGCGCAGATGACAAGAAGTCACACTCAGTGGAGCTGAAACCAGGAGGGGCGGAGTTGAGACATAATCCTGATCCTTGTATAAACTATCAGTGAAAACTTTCACACCTGTTAATTCTTCCATTTTGGGCTGGAAACTGTAAAATATTTTACTCCTTGTTCCCGCCGTCTCCCTGAATTATTATTGACCGAAAATGTTCCGGTATTAATTCATTCATGGAGAATCCCCCTCTCAGGGAGACATACCCCCCTCCCTTCCTTCACGGGGAGATCGGTAATCTCCAGCAGCACCTCCACCTCCCGTTTACATTCTCTCTTGCATTTTTAATTTCTAAACTTAAAACAGGATATCCAGACAGACTTCTGAACCCTTCTGTAAGCGCTTCTCCTCAGGAACATCCGCACACGACGCTCACCTCCGCTGACTCAGTGACGTAGGAGACAGATTTAATGCGACATGACTGTTCAGACTGCAGTCGCTTTCAAAAACATCAGATATGTGTTGGAATCAGTACCACATATTCAAGTGACACGGATCGCATTTAAAAATATCAGATCTGTGCGTTCAGACTGTCATAAAAAATCAGATATGACTCGCATGTGGGAAAAAAAGCGGATTTAATGCACTTTTGCCTGCAGTGTGAACGTAGCCTATGTCTCTCGACTGGCCAGGGAACGCCTCGGGATTCCCCTGTAGGAGCTGGCCCAAATGGCCGCAACCCGACTCCAGATAAGCAGCTGAAGATGAATGGATGTTGCTGAAAATGAATGAAATGATGCCAGTTGTTGAAAAACATTGGCAGCTTTGTAACATATAACTATAAAAATTGGGTTTAAAATACATAGGAGCGGGTCGAGCGCCGCCATATTAGACACCGTTTTTCCTTCTATGGGAGCTCGTGAGGACAAAATGCATTTACTGATTTGTAACAAACAATTACAAAACCTTCACCATTCATAAACATTGTTTTACACATTTACCTCTTCACTCGTTGCCAGTGATGAAAGGGAGTCTGATGTGTGTCATTTTGAAGGAGGTTGCACTCCCAGGGATTTTTGACCCTAATGGCCATCCGTTGGTAAGGTCTTACTCGAACACAAAAATACAGCTTGCTTGCAATGATTCAGGTATGTAGTTTAATTTACTTTGGTTTAAGTCCAAAGAACTGGATTTCTGATCATGTTCATCTGTGTGTTTTACATTCAGCGCTCGCTATCATGCCTTAATTTTGGCTCTGGGTAATAGTCCAGTGTTTCTGAACTAAAATAAACAAGAAAAGCCAGATTTCATCTGTGAGCTTGTTAATGTCCAATGCATACAAAAAACTAGACATGAAAATTATTAATCATTTAATTTTTTTTAAAACATTTGCATTCAGTCCACAGTTTTTATTGTTAGGTTTCATTTTTAATCCTAACACATCTTCAAGCTAAACTCGTGTTTTAGGAGGATTTATACATGTTCATGTAAAATGAGCTTTTATCTTTTGCCACAGGCTGAGAAAGTGACAGACTGATGCAGATCTCTAATAAAACCCAGCTTAAGAATCTTCTTGTTTTGTAAACCATTTAAAATGTTCTGTTGTCTTTTGGCAGCTTCCACCTCACATTTACATTCCTCACTCCTGCCTGCAACACTTTGTCTCTTCATTAAATGACGAAGCATTTAATTAGCCAACAAGCGATCAAATCCACCCTGTGAATTATCTCCAGCTATTCATATTTTTTGTTTTCTCAATCATTAAGATGGGAAACCAACATTAATACTCTATGAATGACAGAAACAGTAGCTGCTTGGATTTATAAACTCCTTTTAGTGCCTAATGCTTGTTTATCCGTTAAATTACAGCTGAAGAGAATCTTCTTGAATTTACTCAGTGAGCTACAATTTTCTGAGGGACTTCAGAGGTTTAATTTGTTATTTATTTTTTTCATTGTAAGAAATCATCCTGCTGCTTTTCCTTTAAAAAGTTTCTTTCCCTTGGATTGCTCCTGGCACGATGGCCTTGCTCCTCATAATGAAAGTATTACAGAACCGGCAACAAAACACATCATGGATCTAAGCTCCGAGTGTTTGATGTGGTTCAAAATACCAGATGATTCGTGTTTCCATCGCTTTAGAAGACAAAACTCTGACGTCAGCCAAGAGCCTTGTACTTGATAAACTTAATGGGGACAGTCACACACACATGCACGCACGCACACACACACACACACACACACAGACATAACACAGAGATGGTTTAAGTTTCCTCTGTGATTGTATCAGCTCATTTACCTGTGAGACTCACAGTCCCAGAGCCAATTATCTTCCCTTATCTGTGTACAGTTTACTTTGTGTGTGTGTGTGTGTGTGTGTGCGTGTGCGTGTTCCATACATACTGGTTGTGTGTCATGCTCTTTCTCTCGTCCCGCGTTATGGCGCGGAAGCGTGTGATTGGCAGGTGTGAGTGTGAGAAAGTTCTCCATGAGAAAGCTTACCTGGATCAGTTTCTGGGCTGTGCTGTGGGGGGGGGGGGGGGGGGGGGGATCTGGAGCTCGAGCTGTGGCAACCTCAGTGTGTTTTTAGCTGAAAGACTGGCTTTATCTGGCCAACTCAAGGAGGGGGTGGGGGGGAGTGATCCCCCTGCCGCAGGTGAGGGGATCAACAGGTGAGTGCTGTCATTATGAGGAAAGGTGAGCTCTCTGCGTCCCCTGCCCTCCCTCACTTGTTCTTTCACCCACTAATCTCTCCAGGGAAATGTCTGTGTGTGTGCATTTGCTTATGAATGTGAGCATAGTTGTAGTTCGTTGTGTTGTGTTTGTTTTAATGCTTCTAAGTCTGGCTGCAGGGCTTGATCCCATTTTAGTTTGTCTGATTTGGGATTTCTCGGGTTTTACCTCCAAATATCCTTCCTCTTGTCTGGTTTTTGGATGTTATTATCAAGAATGAAGCTTTGCCTCCTGGTCACTAGTGATTTTGAGAGCAGTCTGAGGAACGTGACTTTGGTTTGAACCCAGAAATTCAGACGATCAGAAATCTGGGAGGTTTTAGCTTCTCTGCAGAGATTAGAAAAGTTCAAAGACTTAATAACTGGAAAGTCATTTCTTAAAGTGCTGTCTCTGCTGGGTATTGACTCACTTTAGAGCTTGAAGTGAAACAGAGCAGCCAGACTAAGTCAGGACTGATTAAGGTGGCAAGTCACATTTTATTTCTCTTTATTTGGTGAAGATTTTGGTGACAAATTACCCTTTAACCGCTCTCAGATATCGATAGCCATGCTATATATGTGAATATATGGCCACCACGACCCAAAGGGCCTGAATTCAGGCGTGGGGCGGGATCTAGAATAGAACGGAATAGAATAGACATTATTAATCTCACAGTGGGG